CACCAAGCTCCAGCTATGGTGCAGATTGCGCCCCAACCTATCAAGCCTGCCAACACCACTCAACCCTTCTGTGTCCAACAGAATCGTCTGCGACCCACAAGAAGTCCCCTACGGATGACGTGTCCACTCAGCCGGGAGCGCAGCTCCCAGGATGGACTCCAACTCGACGAAGAAGAGATGAAGCGCTTTGCAGCGCCTGGCCTGGAAGCCTAGTGCTGAGTCCCAAGCAGTGGGCTGGCCTTGGCTATGGCCACCAGCACCAACTCCGGTGAAGATGACTGTGTAGACAGAGATAGCACAGTGGCCTTGAGCACGACCTCCAGCAGCCCTTCTTGAAAAGAAACTGAAGAAAAGAACCAAAGCCCCCGTTCCCCTTCTGCCTCAACACTTTTGTAGGATCTAGGACTGCTAGGACAGACTCAACAGCCGGACTGAATCTAGACTGCAAACTGGCAAAAGAAGAATAAAAGCCAAGGGCCTACGATCTACCGCAGCAAAACAAGTCCCTCTAAGCGACAGGTCCGGGGATCAAGGCTTGGGGACCTCCAAAACTCAGTTGCAGCTAGAGCAGTCCTCGTTAGTCATAGGTGCAGGGATCAAACCCCGGAGGCCGCAAATCTACCAAAAGGTTAGAAAAAACCTATCCGGAGGCCGCAAATCTAGCAAAAGCTAGAAAAAAACTATCCAGAGGCCGCAAATCTACCAAAAGGTTAGAAAAAACCTATCTACTTAGTTGACAGCCCACTCAAACCTGCGATTCATTGCACTAGAGTGTGATGTGGGACAGATATGGGGTCAGCAACCTTGGCCTCCGTGGCTTGTGAGGGGAGGTATAATCTTTATGGTCAGCCGGTTCTACTTTCACCTCACTAGAGTACAAGGAGCTGCACCTTCTGCTCGCCCTTCCGACGACCTCCATGAGGATGGGGACTTGACACGTCGCCCACCTCGCCCCATCTCATACACCCGCGTCTCAGTGCCGTTTCAGAGCTCCTAACTTATCCCCTTGGCCTCTCATGGGTTTTTAATCGATGTTCACGAAGACGGTTTGTGATGCATGCCTGAAGTGAACCGTTGGCAATGCTAGTCCAAAGATCACGAATGTGAGGAAGATATGCAATGTGACACAATGGAAGACTCAAATCAGATAGGACTGACCGATGACGGAGCAGAAATGACAAGGCAACTTATATCCAAGCTCACACGCAGCAGAAGGGATCCAAACATAGAAGAGACCTCATGCTGCATCATACATAGACCAGGTATGAGAAGGGAGATGGAGGAACTGAAGAAGAAGAAGACGAAGAAGAAAAAGAAGAAGAAAAAGAAGACCCTCGCTGTCCTCCCACCTCCTGTACGAATGCATCTCAGATGTCCAGTCAGGGAGACTAGCTCGTGAAGTACCAATGTCACGTCTCCAGTCTCTGTCTCTCAAGAGGAAGAAGGAGAAGAGATGGAGCATAAGACAAAGAAATGTAGGATAAGACGAAGAAATGTGGATATCTCCTCTCTCTTTCTCTCTTACACTCCCTCTCTCGCTGTCTCTCACACACTCTCTCTCACTCTCTCTCTTGAAGAGGAACCCTGTCTATGGCTGGTGGCAGACCTCCAGGATATGGTGCCACATGAGGGGACTCCACCACCATCACCTCCAGAACTTGGCAATCCATAGCAAAGTGTGCAGCTCAGTGGTTTGCAAAACAGATTATCTTATTTTAGCTGTTCACTATTACACTGATCTCAGGGCACACCTTTAAGCTCCGCTGTCTCTGCCGTGTTGCTGTTGTGACTGGTTCCTCGACTTGCTTGGGCCGATCCCTCCTCACCTTATGGTCACACACTTGAACAGGAAGAGGGAAGGAGGGGGGTAGAGAGAGAGAGAGAGAGAGAGAGAGAGAGAGAGAGAGAGAGAGAGAGAGAGAGAGAGAGAGAGAGAGAGAGAGAGAGAGAGAGAGAGGAGGGGGGAGAGAGTGGTGCCTGCATCCTCCGTCACCGAGTCATTAAAGACATGTCAAGTTTGCCAGAAAGGGACTCTAAAGTCAAAATGCCCACATTGTACTTGAAAAAGAGAAAGCAATGCCATTCAAGGAGAATCAGGGGGGAGGTGGGACGGGGAGAAACTCGAAAAAGAAGTGGCTGTGATCGAGGCTCAGACAGAAAAACTCAAGGAACTTAATACAGCCTACCAACCTGAGGTCGCTTTTCTACAGCAAATTGCGGAGGGCAAAGCACCCCACGTGGTAGACACAGCGAAGGCAGCCGAGTATACCTAGTTGCGTATGCGGCCGCTGCAAAGGCAGGCAAGCGTACCTTGTTGCGTATGCGCCCGCACTAGCGGTTAATGGAAGGCCAAAATTTTGGGGGTTTTCGCTGCGTCGCTACAAACAATGTTGTCGAAACTTTGTCGAACAAACCATGCAGGGTCATAATACAAACAACAAAAAAGTTGAAAAAAACAAACAGGCAAAAAAAAAAACACAAAAAAAACAAACTCAAGAGCACTATAAAACCCTATCCGGAGTAGCTTTCGGAGTTCGCCAAATCTTTCTTCGAGTCCGGTGTTTTTGCTAAGTTTTTCGTTGCTGGTCCAAATGCGACGAAATTGAATACAGATATACCCTAAAGCACGTACATATCAGGCAAAAAGAAAAAAGAAGAAAAAAGTAAAAATTCAGGAAAATATGGCAGTTTCGGGGAAATTTTTGCCAAAATTCGCCGAAATTCGGGCCTTCCATTAACCGCTTCTTGTAATCTGGCAAACACTTCTTCAGAATGGGCAGACCCAGCTTCAGATGACGTCGTTCATTACTTCAGTCAGAAAGTGGTATGGGGTTTGTCTTTGGAGAAGAAAAAAGTCATGTGCCCGACACCCCTACCGTCTTCACCTGAATAAAACACCCGGTCATTATTGCTACATCTGGTCTAAAAGTTGCCCCAAATATAGCTATAATGGCCGGGTGATCTATTCGGGGAGAAGCGGTTAATGGAAGGCCCAAATTTCGGTGAATTTTGGCAAAATTTTCTACAAAACTGCCATATTTTCCTGAATTTTTACTTTTTTCTTTTTTTTTCTTTTTGCCAGATATGTATGTGCTTTAGGGTATATCTGTATTCAATTTCGCCGCATTTGGACCAGCAACGAAAAACTTAGCAAAAACACCGGACTCGAAGAAAGATTTGGCGAACTCCGAAAGCTAGAAAAAAGTAAAAATGCAGGAAAATATGGCAGTTTCGGAGAAAATTTTGCCAAAATTCGCCGAAATTTGGGCCTTCCATTAACCGCTTCTCCAGATTACAATGCCATGGAGTGCACTGAAGGACCACCTTCTTAGGAATAACAGTCGACATGTGAAGCTCTAATTCCTCAGCATACCCTCCTTACTTCGACCTGACCGCTGACTCCTGCAATGTGGCCAGGCCAACGGCCAAGAACCCAGCACTCTACCGACACATACCCTCCTTACTTCGACCTGACCGCTGACCCCTGCAATGTGGTTACGCCAACCGCCAAGAACAAAGCGCACTACCGACACATACCCTCCTTACTTCTACCTAACCGCTGACCCCTGCAATGCAGTTACGCCAACCGCCAAGAACCAAGCACACTACCAACACAGGTAAGTGCGGTACAGCGTCCTCGTCTTGCCAGGCCATAGCAAGTTCCAAGCAGGGACCTGGTCTGATACCAAAATGTAAGGAGACAATGGAGAAGAGACTCAAACCAGAAGGCAAATGAACTATCATTTACAAGAATTGCACAGCGACAAGGCATTGAGCAGAAAAGCATTAATCACACTTGCACAGGATAACATATTATTGAAGTCTCTTGATGAAGGAAGCTTCACCTCCCCTCAACAACAAGAATATTATTTTTTTGCAACTCGGGCGTGTCATCACCCATGCCAGCATATGTGACCAGATGCTGTACTCGCTTAGCCTACCCTTTGCTACCACCTGGTGATGTCTAATGCTGCGCAGTCTCGTGCCGTTCGCATTGATGACCAATCGAAGAAACCTCTCCAACCCTCTAAAGCGCATCGGCCACGAGTCCACTCTCGGGTTACTTTTATCGGGATGCGATGTTGGCAAGAACAAGCGAGTGCAATGTCGTGGGCCTCACTCCACTATACACAATGCTAAATGTGTCTAGTATATGATGCCGTGCACATACATGTAGCATGTTCCATGGTGGAGTAAGGCCCCATGTCATGCAGCAGACGTAGCTACATGTGATGGACAGGTAGTTGTGGAGATCAAGCAATGAACCGGACGGGATGAGATCTGAAAAATGGGAGAGAGAGAGAGAGAGAGAGAGAGAGAGAGAGAGAGAGAGAGAGAGAGAGAGAGAGAGAGAGAGAGAGAGAGAGAGAGGACTGGATCAGGTTGGGACAAAAGTGAAAAAGGCGATCGAATTGTCCTCAGTTTGGGTATCCGAATGTGGCCGGGAAACAAAGTAGTGACCAGCGGTCGAAGCAGAACTCGTCTGGGTGACCGAGTGAGGGCATAGCAGCCCTCCACTCGTACTCCGGCCTTTGCACAGGCCTGTCGTACAACACTGTAAGTGCATCTGTCTCTATCTTTCTAGTGATGTCTCTATCTTTCTAGTGATACAGTGAGGAAGACGGCTCACAAGAGTCACAAGTCGAAAAAGAAAGACTATTTGTTGGATCTGTGTCTCATTTGAGGATTGAGATCCTGGGTTATGAGATTAGTCATTTTTCAACGAAAATTTGATGAACCTTCAGGTATCCTTTTTTCAAAAAAGATGTATTTTTTCCGTTGTCTTTGGTTGTTTGAGACTTTGAGTTGGCCCCTCAATAAGTTGTGGTGAACAATTTGCTCTTTGCATGCACAGATGTTTGGACGAAGTGGCCATGTATCTTGTTGGAGTTCATGCCTTTGTGATTCAGTTGGACAGCTGCAAGGAAGTGGACGAGGCTGCGGAATGAGTTGAGGTGGTCATGTTGGTGGTTGTTGCTTCGCACTGGTTCTAGGTGGTGGGGTAACTAGAAGGGCTGCACTTCTAGTGTATTCTGGACGAGAAAGACTGCCCGATGGGAAACGGGCAGAATTGTTCGTTAGGCCGTGGCAGGCAGGGCTGCTCATTATGGCGTGGCAGGCAGGACTACTCGTTGCATCGGATTTCTACCCGGTGGAAAGTGGTTGGTGTACTATGGTTGATGGTGCTGGTGAGTATTCTTCTCGTAACTTCGGTCCCTATTGCAGTATCAGGGCAGCAGTCCTCTGGAGTTGAGACGTTTATTAACTGCGGTGGCGAAGCCATAACAGATACATGGGGTAGGACCTGGACGGCAGACTCGCAGGTCCCTGCGGACGGTAATGTGTTGGAAACTACCGCACAGGATGTGCTACCTCCCAGCCAGCCAAGGGCTCTGCCAATGGCGGACCCGATGCCTTATCGTACCGCGAGGTTTTTCAGGAGCAATGTCAGCTACACCTTTCCGAGCCCTGCAGGGACCAATTTTTTTTTGCGGCTTCATTTCACTACGGCCTACATGGGTCCTGAGGCCGCTGCTTTTGCACCTAAAAATTGTAGCTTCAATGTGTATGTGAACGATACACTTGTACTGGCAGGCTATTCGCCTCTCGCAAAGGCCCAGTCTATACCCGAAAAGCCTAATCCGATTAATCAGGTCGTTATTGAAGAACTCATCTTGACTTCCCAGGACGGTACTATTGCTGTATCACTTTCTCCGATATCAGAGGCGCATTATGGTTTTATCTGTGGAATTGAAGCAGTATCGACCGCAGGATTGTACGACAAATCGTTGCCACCGGCGTATTCTGGTCATACTGTGCGTCGGATAAACTGCGGAAGCACCAATGATGAAGTTCCGCCTATCAGGGCAGGTGACCGGACAATGCGGTGGTGGTCTATTGACTCAGAATGTCAGACAGGTGTCCCTCTTTCGACATCAGCTATAGGTGTCACTGGGGACAGGGATCCATTCTACGTTCCTGTCGATGTACTGAGGACATGGCGGTATAATGACAAGGATGGTGTCAGTTACATTTTTCTCGCGCTGGAGAAAAGCCGCAGTTATCTTGTTCGACTGTACTTTTTCGAAGCTTTAGGTGAAACTCGCAGACGGGAAATGAACATCACCGTCCGTGGTTTTGGTCCAGCAGCTTCAGCTGGAGACGAGGCCACTGTTACAAACTATGATGTCGTGCGAGATGGAGGTCGGTTGGCACCAGCAGTCGTTGATCTTATCTTTTTCCTGAACAGCACCACTGACCTGCAGATCATCTTATGGATTAGCGAGTGGACGGAGATCCCTGAGGCGACAGTCAGTGGTATTGAGATTATCAAACTCGGCCGCAATGGTGAGTTGACGCTCGCTGACTCGGGGAGAGTTCCAGAGAGTATCATTGCTGGTACGTTTCCTACAGTGGACGCTGGGCCTGTTCTTCTTTCCTTTGCGGAGTATCCAGGCAACTCGGAACTCCTGTCGGATTGGGTCAAATCAAATGCTGAAGGATTCACAAATCCGTGCTACCCCCGGGCGTGGTCGATGATTGAGTGTACTTACGGTGCGGTTACGGCAATCGACCTCTCCACAGCGCGGGGCGTTGCAGGACCGATTCCGGCTCGGCTGGGGGATCTGAGTGCACTGCGTGAGCTTATCCTTAGCAATCAGAAATTTACGGGTCCCATTCCTGATTCCCTTGCTGACCTGGTCCACCTAGAGAAGCTGAAACTGGATGGTAATATTGGACTGAATGGGTCAGTCCCTGCTTCATTTGGTCGGTTGTCCAAGCTGGAGGAATTTGATGTGAGCGGGACAGTGGTGGGCGGCCCGGTTCCCACAGCTCTTCTGGACTCGCCATCGTTGAGCGTGGTTGCAGGCGAGTCTGATCTCTGCGCTGCAGGCGACGCAACGCAAAAGCGACTTCTGAAACAGTGCCCGGAAGAGAGTGAGCCACCCTTCAGAGGACGAATAGTGGCTGCCATTCTTGGTGCAGTGGCGGGTGCATGTGTGCTCGTTGGTGCTGGAGTCTTCGTCTACTTCAGAAAGTGCAGAGATGACAGTTTCTTTGGTATGATGTCCAGCTCTGACAGTGGGGACGCAGCGAAATCCATGGGACCGCAGACAATGAAATTGGGCCGGCCATTTACGTTTGCGGAAATCGTCAAGGCCACAAACAACTTTGACCATCGCCGCGTTCTTGGCTCTGGTGGATTCGGGTCAGTATACGAGGGCCATCTTCCAGACGGCACTGTGGTGGCCATCAAGCGCGGCAGTGCCGAGTCCCGACAGGGAATCCGGGAGTTCCAGACGGAGATCAGGACTTTGTCAAACCTCAGGCATCGCCATTTGGTGAGCCTGGTGGGCTACTGTGAAGAAAATGGGGAGATGATTCTCGTGTACGAGTACATGGCGAACGGTTCTCTTCGTGATCACCTATATGCCGACGACGAAGAGTGGTCCTTGACGAAGAGCAGCCGGCAATTTGTCCTCGACTGGAGGCAAAGGCTGATGATTTGCGTGGGAGCTGCTAAGGGTCTGGATTACCTTCACTCTGGAGCGCAAGAAATGATCATTCACAGGGACGTTAAGTCAACGAACATCCTCTTGGATGATGAGTGGGTTGCCAAGGTTGCGGATTTCGGGCTCTCAAAACTGGGACCCAGCATGAATGAAACTCATGTCAGCACTGTGGTGAAAGGCAGCTTCGGCTATCTGGACCCGGCATACTTCAAGTCACAGCAGCTCACAGAGAAGTCAGATGTCTACAGCTTTGGTGTTGTTCTGCTTGAAGTGATCACAGCAAGGCCACCCATCAGCCAGGGTGCTCCTGGAGAGCAGGTGAGTCTGGTCGACTGGGCGAAACCCTCTCTTCTTGCTGGGAGGGTCGAAGAGATTGTCGATCAGCGACTGACAAACTCGTACGACGTCCAATCGCTACGCAAGGTAGCAGAGGTGGCGCTGCGCTGCCTCAACGAGAACAGGGAGGCCCGACCTTCAATGGCCAGTGTCCTCCCTGGTCTCGAGGATGCTCTGATTTTGCAAGAGACATCGGGCAGTGTCATTCTCGATCTTCCCCCTCGCCCCCCAGGCTCAGCGCACCGGAGTAATCTTCATCCCGGCCAACGAGTTGGTCTTCACGACGACAATACTCCCTCTTCCACCAACTCCGCCGACTTTCATCCCTACGGTGCCTCTCATCATTCCCACCCATTGTCGAGTGTCTCAATCAATCATTCCCATCTTCATTCCGTTGTCTCCGAAAATCCTGACTACCATAATATGGATGACGACAGCATGAGCGGCGCAAGCGACCCTCCAAGCATGGCATCTCCGTTGACAGCTCGTTAGGTCAACCTCTCGAAACACTCGCATCTCGGAAGGAGCCTTCGATCAGGTACACATTTTCTAGTCCTCGACTCCTCGCCAGAGTCTGTTTTCCGTTGATCTGTTTGCCCTTCCTCCAGGCGAAGACGTCAGGGGCAATTGGCTGATAGGCACTAAACGCACGGGACGTACTTGACATTCAGTCGACACCGGATGGGCACGTGCTTCATTCACCACCATATTTATCAACTCTCCAGCGTTGTTACGTGGGCTGGACACAACAGCTAGAAATGCTGAGCTTGTAGTGGAGACAGTAGAGAGGCTGGGATCCATCTACCTGAATATGTAATCCCTGTTCTGACAAACAGAACGCTGGTGCAGAGGTCTTGCATTGCCACCTATAATGATTCATTTAGAAGCACAAGCAACGTGTTTTTTTTTTTTTTTTT